TCCGACGGCGGGCGCGTTCAGATATGAATGCGCATCGACGCCCGCCGTGTACCCGGCCCGGTGGGCGCTCTCTCTCGTTTAGTGGGGCGCTGTGAACAATTCGGTACGCGCGCCACTCTGCACAACGCCCCTCCCTCGAACGCCTTCATCCGCCGGCCCGAATGAAAACTTCGGGCCGATTCCGGCGCGCAGCGGAACACGACCTCCCCCCCGCGGGCCCACCGCGCTTAAGGGGTAGGATATATATATATATATATGTATATATATATATATTTTTTTTTTTTTGGGAAAAGGTGGAGGATCCTTTATTCAAGACTGAAACCTTGAGGCCGGGAATCCTCAACAAACAACCCGGGAAAGACTGAGTCACCTGACCATCCCCATCTCTCATAGTAGGCCCGGGACCACCATTTGATTTCTGAGACTTTGATCTCTACGACAACAAATACATTGGTCATCTCGAGCCCTCTGCTCTTCAACTATAATTGAACTCAAACTACACCCTTAGATCATCTAACTAGCGCAGGTCTATAGTCGGTCTGCCGGGGGCAACCGCCCCCTATGACACTCTTGCCCCCCCTGTCCACTCAGACCCAAGAAGACTGTCCTTTCTGCCTGCCTCCTGCGACAATATAGAACCGAGTGTCCTGGTTCAGGCCAAGATCCCACTAGTTCCTCAATCCATTCCCGTTCTAGACTACAGTTGACTGTACCAAAAGGAGAGAGGGGGAAGATTGAAACACTTGCCCTCTACAATGACTAAGTCACACCCCCACTTCCGCTGCAAACCCACCCAAAGATCAAAAACAAAACAAAAACAGCATAGAAAAACCTAAAAGGATACCATTTCCTATATGCCTACTGTTAACCATGAGCAGAACTCCAATTTTCCTTGAGCGTCTACATCTACCAACCATTTTGAAGCTTTTTCTTCTCCCCAAGTTCTCAAGAACCACTGACAACTCTTGCCCCGCTGGTTACCCTCGCACCCTTTCCTATACCAATCTGCTCTAATGTATTGTCTAAGCCTGGTACGTACCATTGTTTTCAGCTCTGTGTCCGACGTCCCTTTGTTATGAAAACACGCTCTGTTCCTACAATCCCATATAACGGAAATTAAGATTGCTCTGCAGGCTTGAACAACATACCCACATCCCTCCGTGCATTGCATGCCATCTGGTAAAATTCCCAGAAGTGCCCATTCCCTGCTCCATTCCCAGTCCCATTCAGCGAAGTCCCTGCAGTGTGTGCCCACCAAACCCACAATCTCTTGGAGGCGGGACAGTCTCACCACAAGTGGAACGTCGACTCAAAGGCCCATGTACACCGTGTGCAAGATAATCGGATCTCCATCCCCTTGCTCGCGAGCCAAACCGATGATGGCGTAACCAACAGCGATAAGAGCCAGAGCAATGCCGCATGTTTCTGTGAGGGGAGGACTTTAAGTTGAGACCAAAGTCTTTTCACCCCTGTACTGAAAGAGCTTGGCAGATTTAGCAGTCTGTTGCTCTAGGGATCGGTGGCTACAACAAATGGTAGTCTAGATGGCAGCTGGAAGTCTAAATTGCAGTTTCTCTGATGAAGGAGGAGGGCTGTCCCATTTTTCCCCCTACCTCTCCAACCCCAGCCTGCTGAATCTAGCTTACTACTCTCTATTGGTAGGCCCGAGACTTTCCTTACAGAGTGGCGCATTTCCTTCTCCCACGTTTCCTCAACTCTTATTTGTCTTAACATAGAGCCTAGGGGGGGTTGTCGGTTTTCCGAGTTGTTAGTCAAAGACTTCTCAGAAAGACAGCCATAATTCCATTCTTCGAACACCCTACCTCCTTCCTGAGTACTGGAGATCAACTTCCAACATATCTGATTATACTCCGGGTCATCTATTACATACCAAGTTCCGGGCGGGTCTGTCCCGCTTGGTGCGAGCAAGTCTTTCCATTCCTGTGGGATGGCTGCGATCAACTTCTCCAGTTTATCTTCCACTTTGTGCAAGCCCACAACTTTCTTCCGAATTACTGTTGATGAGTACCATTGGCCTTGAGTCCCGTTCCATATGTCCCGAACCCTCAAAATTCCTTTCCTTATCCAACTGTCTCCAAATTTCCCTGACTCCTTGTTGGCTCTGAAGCGTAGTCCTTCTTCGTTCAGAATGCGGGGGTTATCGAAGAGAGGTTGTGCCAGAACCTCTTGCTTCGTAACAGGTTTCATCCATTCATCTGGTCTTGTCCTCTTCCAAGCATGGATTACCCTTGCCCAGAAAGGGGAGTGAACCTTCCTGTTGACATAGGAGTCTAATTGTAAACACAACCAAACGTCTTCCTTTCTTGCCAACCCCCATTCTTCTGATAAAATATGCTCTCCCATGATGAGCCAATGCTCTTGTCCTGAGGCAGTTGAAGCTCGAACTGTCCATTGTATAAGCATGAAATAGTTATGTCCATGGGGGTCTATAATACCTAGGCCACCCTCTGACCTTGGTTGTGTGATAAGATTCCATGCAACTTTAGAGATGAAACCATCACCCTCTTCTGCTTTTGGTTTTCACAGGAACCTTGCCACGACCCTCCGGATGAATGCTATAAAGGATGTGCCTAACACGCATACCTTCCTTACGAACCACAGCAAGGAGAACAGGGATGTGTTAATTACCAAGGCTCGACAAAAAATAGACAAGTGGGTTGCTCCACCCCACGACTTGATTCTTGCTACCACTTTACTCTACAAAATCTCCTCTTGTACGTTTTGACATGAATCCAACGCAATCATTACCCCATGAAACCGCTCAGCCTCCCCTTTCTCAATCCGTTTCATGCCCCAGTGTGCGGCTAGGCTCATTCCCTGAGGGAGAAAATATACTGACTTACGTCAGTTTACAGCTGCCTCAGAGAATCATGAGTATTCATCCAACAGATTCTTCAGGCCTTCCAGTGCTCCCGGTGAGTTGTCGCAGACCGCAAAGAGGTCGTCTGCCAGCGCCTTTGCTTTACATTCCTTGTTCCCTAGGGCTAAATCTTTGATCTTTGGTCGATGCCGGATGTTACACATCAATACCTCCAGCTGCAATACAAACACTAGTGGCGCCAATGGGCAGCTCTGTCGTAGCGAGCGAGTTAGGTGAAACTGATTACATAGGAAGCCATTCACCATTACCGCCACTGTGGAGTGCGTGTACAATACCACTATCCATCTACAAAAGATTTCCCCAAATCCCATTTTTCTGAGAGTAGTGAGCATAAAACTCCAGTTAACGCAATCATACGCTTTTTTCAAATCCAACAACAGGACTGCTTGTGATCTTTGTTCTTTCTCAATAATCTTTAGTGTTTCTATCGCAGTTACGATATTATCAAAAATTGATCTGCCCTGAACAAAGGCACTTTGCTAATCTACGGGTCAGGGTTTTGGCTAAGATTTTATACGAGACATTCAGTCTTGAGATTGGGCGCCAGTTCCTAACCTCGTCCCTATCCCCCTTCTTATATAGCAAAGTAATAACGCCATGGCACATGGTATCTGAAAGTTGACCCCCTATCAATACGCCATTATAGATTTCCAGGATGGATGATCTAATTCCCGAACTAAACAGTTCGAAAAACTTTACTGTTATCCCATCCGATCCAGGAGGTTTTCCTCTAGCCATGTGCTTAATTGCCTGATCGATTTCAGCCTCCGATATTGGTCTGTCCAGATCAAGACGTCCAACCGCAGGGAGTCTCACATCCACCAAATCCCAAAGATCCGACTGTTGAGATTGCCCTTCTTCGATTTCTGCAGCATTTCTCCTAGAAGTAAGAATATAACAGTAGTATGACTCAGCATACAAACACATGCATTGTGATGTCATTGTCAGCGGCGCCTGTGAGTTGAAGGGGTGCCTCAACGATTTCATCTCTTTTTGATAGAAGCTAGGTAGCAAACGTTGAAAAGTTTGTTTAGTTATTCTGTCACCCACTTCTATACCTTTGGTCTGCAATATTTCCTTCCACCGGTCTGACTTCGCTACTTGAATGTCGTCCCACTTCTGGATCCTCGCTGCTCTTTCCATCCCCCACCAATGTGCTTCCACTTATCTGGGGGGAAGCTCCGATATTTTTCATTCCATTTCGTCCACTTGCTTTTTGACCGCGGCTTCTTCCTTATAGTCCTGTAAGGCGACAATCCTGGAGAATACACTTAAAATTCTTGAGACAAACATGATGCAAGCATCCCACCAGCTCACTTATGAGATAAACTGGTGTTTCTTTTGTTCCCATTTCGCCAGCTGTTCTTTCACCCATTTCCTCACACCCGGCTCTCGAATGGTTGCAATATTCAACTTGAATATCCCCCTACCTCTCTCTGGACTGTCTCCCCACAACAGTTGCAGGATGACCAGGTTGTTATCTGACATAGGGTGTGAACATATCAAGACTTTCACAATATTATTCCAAATGTTATGATTCGTAAGGAAGCAGTCCAGTTTTCGGGCAGCTACTCTTCTCCCCGCACTTAGTTGGGATGAGAACCAGGTTTGGCCAGCTACCGTAGGATTAACCACTCTATACACATCCAAGAGCTGTAGCTCAACCACTAACTCCATCAATACATCCACATCTCTCACCACCTGAGCAGTGCAAAACAGAGGGTTGATGTCATCCAGTGCCACGTTCCAATCGCCTGACAGTATAACATCATCTACTTCAGGGAGGAAATCAATCAGATTTTTCAAAAAAGTGATTCTCTCGGCCCGCTCCGCTGGTGCGTAGATAGATGTTACCGCCCATAATTTACCTCATGTGTCAAATACAATCCATGCCCATCTGCCGTTATGGTCAAAGTCGTAGTCTACTATAGCAGCATCCAGGTTTCTGTGTACTAAGATGTCCACCCCGCCTCTAGATTCCATCGCTGGTGCCCGCGACTGAGGGTCGTCCCACCACGCTCCTAGATCAGCTATCTTTTCTTCATCTAATTTTGTCTCTTAAACACAACAAATATGGATATTCTCACTATGTATCCAGGATTTCAGCCTGTGGCGCTTACTACGATCACTCGTATCCCCTAACCCTCTTACGTTCCAAATAACAATCCTAATGGGCGGCATGGTGTCCAAAAGTTGCCGTCACAGATTGGATACGGATTGAGGGGAGTGGGGGAGCGCTCTGACTCGGGGCCAAATTCCTGTCTGCAGTGGCGGTTCCTGTGTCCCATTTGGACGTCAGGTACGACTTAATGAACCGCGAGGATAAGGCCCGCATTCTTGGAATTTTCGAATTTAACTTCCCTAGTTCCATAACACTGACCTCTCCTAGAATTCTAAGATGAGCTAAATCTGGATGATCCGACTGAGCTAGCCATTCCAAAGGAAATAAGCACATGCCTCGCTCTATCAGCAGAGTCAACTCTTGCTGTGACATGCGCGCGTCAAAAATTGGGGTGAACAACTTTACCTTTAGAGGTGGTTTATCGATAAAAAACCTGGGAGTGGGAATGTCCGGAATCATTCTTACCGCTATTTCGCTTCCATACAATCTTCTGGTAATATTCACCATGTCTCGAGGCATAGGCGGACCTGGAATTGGTTGAGATGGGAGTACTGACTCATGTGCCGAGATTGTCCATGCCAGGGCGAACATGCCCTCCTGTGTAGCAGTGAGGAGGAGCGGAAGTAAATACTTGTCCCATTCCTTATCTGAGCCTGTGGCTTGGCGCCTGTTATGCTTGAGAAAGCTCAGTGCCTTTGCCGCAGAGTCGATTGCCCCTTTACTTGATTCCCGGATATCTTCCTCAATTGATGGACTAGACGGCTCCGCATGCACTTCGTCTTGAATACGGAGTTCCTTCATATCCATACTTAACCTTCTTCTCTGCTTCGAAGGTGTGAGATCCCCTCTTGATGAAGTAGCTTCGTTCTTCGATGATTCCGATACCATACGTCTACCCCCACCCTTAAACTGGCTTCTATCCTCCGAGTGGGCCTTCCCTCTCCCCTGGCCGGATGCTGACTCCATTCTCGTCTTCTCGGTTAGGATCTCCTCTTCCCTCGTCCCTGGATTGGGGGAGAAAACGAGATTTAAGAAATTTCGTTCTCCATTCTGGGGTCTGCCTTCTCCCTCTTGGGCCTGGCTAGAGCTTCCTTCACTCTGTCCTCGCCTCCAATCCGTGGGACCGAGCTTCCCGAAATATGTAGGTTGTTTGCTCCTTCTCTCACCAGAGTTCTTCGAGGGAGTTTTTTCCCCGCCGCTCTCCGGAGATCCTTGCCGTCATCCCCTGACTCGGGATGATGGCGAACCACCCCTATTTGATGCCACTGATGAGGGGGCCTTGCTTCCTGAGTTACTGCTGTTGTGTTTACTCGCGTCGATGCTTGAACTTGCCTGGCTTGGGGCAGGACTAGGCGACCTTCTTCTGCCCGTACGCGTGCATTGCTCTTCCGAGTGGAAGTACTTCCTGCATTTACTGCACCAAGAAGATAATGCGTTTGCCACTTGTAGTTCGATGACTTGCCCCTGAAACGTCATGAACTCCAATGTCTCCTTCAGTCTGGCGATACTCTCAATGGCTATGTCCATTCGAACGTTAATTAGACGAGGAGTACTCGCATTCTTCTCCGGTGGATAGACTTTTATCACCGGTCCAATTGATGCCGCCGCAGCTGATTCCAGGTAGCAAAAAGCATCGATAGGGACATCCACAACACGGATCCAAAAATAGGTTTTCTCCAACTCCTTCTTGGCTTCTTGAATTTCAACTTTAGTTAACCATGGCTTGAAAGCTATGTTGTACCAGCGTCTCTTCAACGCCACCCGAAAGGATCCCTCCTCTTTCATCCAATCCGCCACTCGTTTATCCTTCGCCACGTAAGATAGAACGTTGCTTGATTCAATGCAAACTCTGCCTCTGGTGATGGCCGGGTCAAATCTCTGTTCGTTCATCCAAATATCCTCAAATGCTCGTATAACATCCTCTTTCAGCTTCTTTGGAAGATTCTTAGAGCCTTCTAAGAAGATAACCGTGACCGTTCGTTCTTTCAACCATTTGACCTTGATTTCATCCAAGGAACGGTTGAGAACGAACCTAGCCTTTGTTCCTTCCTCCCTCAATTCGCCTATATCCCACCCCGACCGGAGGATCCCGGCATCATAGCACTTTGCCAACATCTCCCGTATCCGGTCTTCTTCAGGCCAGTAATTCGTATGCGCTTGCGGTGGAGACCTATTCCCGTTGCAGTCATCGTCTTCGAGCACCGTTTGAGGTCGCGGTTGGCCCGGCGTAGTCGTCTCCTCCGCTCCTACCATCCCGACGTCATTCGCGAGAGGTTGGACTTGTCCTCCCGGCTGGACGCCCTTCGGGTCGCCTGAATCGTCAATTTCCATGGTCAATTATCAATTTGTGGCTGTATTGCTCAAGTTCTCGATTGCCTAAACTGATTAAACTCGCGATATGCGTGAAACAATGGTACCGTCCAGTAGTTTCCTACAAGACAACGAATCTCTCCCACAGACGCTTATGCAGGGCTAGCCTAACTTTGCTACGAAGGACAGACATAACTGATCTTCGAGCATACGCAAACCTGAAGAGCAACAGCGATGGCTGCTTTCCGGCGGCTAGACCGGCTGAAGCCGGTGGCGGCGGGAACGAGCGCTGTTTTTGCGCCGCGAACCAGCGCCCCCCAGGATATATAGAGAGAGCACCCTGTCACCCATTTTCCGCATTTTTTGGCAATAACTTTTTTTTTTTTTTTTTTTTTTTAAAGGACGATGGCCTTGAGGTATTATCATCGGACTAACCAGCCCGGTAAATTCAATCGTGTGTCTAATCTGACAACGGTGGCCTTTTCAGCCCAGGGTGGCCTGATAGCCTTCAGGGATCCCCCACTGGGGGGCACCGGCCAGGGGACAGCTGGTAGCAGAGGGACCGAGCATCATCTGAGTGGCCAGTCGCTGTGCCTCCCTGAGTACCCCTCCCCCTATGAACATCAGCAGAGACTGCTTTTTAATGCCAATTGGGGGGACCAACGGGCTATCTCTAAGTGGTGGGCGTCAAGCATGCCCAGGAAGGTACATGAGGCGAATGGGGATTGAACCCAAGAGTCAAGACCTCCTGAATGCCACTTGCGTGCCTTACCAACTGAGCTAGGCCGCTGGATCGGCAATAACTACTGAAGGCACTTGGAGGGGTGATCTCAAGGAAGGGTAGTTTCAAGGGCTCTGTGGGTGGGCCAAACGAGTAGTGCAAATCCGCTATAGACCCCGATGAACCTGGTATAGGATAGAAGTCGTAAAAGAATGATGAGAGGGGAGTACAGGCTCTTGTGGATATGGAATAGACCCTTGTGGATTCCGGCCTGGAATGGAATAGACCCCTGGTGATAAGGAACAGACCCCTGTGGACCTGGAATAGGAGTGGGATCGGACATCGTTTGTGGTGAGGTTGTCACACAAAATTTGGAACGCAACACCTCAGCAACCGAGGAACTTCGTGGAGTAAAGAACGGAGTCGGATACGAATAGGGGAGCTTACCAGAAACTGACAGGAAAATTAAGGAATTGAGAAAGAGGAGAAGTTCAAGATAAAAGGACATGACATTGTGTTCCGATCAGATCTATAAGGAGTCATTGACGAGCGTCGGATAAGGTGACGATCTCGGTGGGATCAGATCGGAGAGGGGCAGAGGAAGAGCGATCAGGCTGACAAAGCACATCAAGAAAGAAGATCGAAGGAGAAGGAACTAAGAAGGGCAAGAGGAAGAAGAAGGAGAACAGGAAGAGCGCGGCGAGAGAGAGACGAAGTGAGGGTGTACGCTGATGTCACATCATATGAGATAAGATCAGATGAGATGGGATCTCATCAGATCAGATTAGATTGAAATCGGATCAAAGGACAGAGGAGCAGATCGCATAGCCGAATCAGCTCCCGGTCCTAACGTCGCGAAGTCGGATTTGAGCAGATAAGAATCATCAGATCGATATCAGAACCTGATTCAATTAGAGTAGATCGGCAAAGGACAATAGCAGATTTCAGATCAAGGTTTGTCATATCTAGCAGGCCGGCTATTAAGAAGAAGTGCCAGCTGGCAGTGAGCAGTCCATCCACCAATCATAATGGAGGGTTATCTTCAACACTTGAGGTCTCTGCGGATGCAGATGAACGGTAAGGGCCATGTTCCACTACTCACCGCATGTACATAAGACAAAAATCAAATATATGGCGGTGTATCTTCCCATGTTCTAGCGCAAAGTTCATTCGCATTTTACTTATTCGGTGAGTAGTAAAGCGACGCCCTAAGAGGGGACCAGCCAAGCGGTAATTGACGTGTTCCCTTGAGCCACAGCGTCCTTATTGCCCCTGGCCTTCCTGTTTAGGATATCGTCGACAAAACCGATCCAGTCTGATGCCCCTGTCTTTCCTGTTTGGGATAGGATATCGTCGACAAAACCGACCCCGGGCCATGAAAATGGGCGGTAAGAGAGCATCAATTAAGCCCAATTGACGCGTTTCCCGGAGGTGCAGCATCCTTTTCCCCGTTTCTTTCCTGTTCACGTAAACGACAAAACCTACTCTCCTTCTGGAATCGTAGAAAAGCACCACGGGATGATGCCACTCTCACAAACCGTTAATCGGCCGGCAGGCACCTTGAGGAGATACTCACACTCAGTGAGTGGGGCTTTGGTGCATGCATCTGGCCGGAATTCCGCAATGACATGGATGTATCTGACGACGATTACGTCCGTAGCTGATTGAGAAAAGTCCTAGTGTGAGTACGCTCTGAGAGCGGAGTTAAGTGGTCCGGCAGTGCCGTGCATGATATCCTGTTTTTTTTTTTTTTTTTTCCCCCCCCCTCCTCCTATGTCCAGTAGGTGTAATCGAGTAAGCGAGAGATGAGATGGTGTTATGTTCTGTCCTGTCCTGTCCTTGTTAGCGAGGGAAAAAACCAAAAAAAAGATGTCCTGTCCTGTTGAGTGAAGTCAAACGGTCAAAATTAGTGACGGTCAAACGGTCAAAGCTACCGTCTTCACCCAAATAGAACATACTCCCGGTCATTCTCGCTGTATCTAGAACGAAATTTGCCCAACATACAGCTATAACGACCGGGAGTAGGTTCTATGAGGGTGAAGACGGTGGGCAGGACCGTGGAGATGAGATGCCCCCCCTCTTGCACAATCATGTCCAAACGGTCAAAGTTACTGACGGTTAAACGGTCAAACTTAGTGACGGCCAAACTGTCAAAGGTAGTGACGGTTAAACGGTCAAAGTTACTGACGGTCAAACGGTCAAACTTAGTGACGGTCAAACGGTCAAACTTAGTGACGGCTAAACGGTCAAACTTAGTGACGGCCAAACGGTCAAAGTTAGTGACGGTCAAAGTTAGTGACGGTTAAACGGTCAAACTTAGTGACGGCCAAACGGTCAAAGTTAGTGACGGTCAAACGGTCAAAGTTAGGCAGGAGGACCGTAAGATGAGTCGTCTTGTTGTGTGACATCAAAGGTTGGAAGTCAGTGACGAGAAGAGCGGTCAAAGTTAGTGACGGTCAAACGGTCAATGCTCGGCAGGACGGTGAGATGGAGAAAAAAAAAAGAAGAAAAAAAAAAAGATGCCCTGTTGTGTAGCACCAAACGGTCAAAGTTAGTGACGGTCAACCGGTCGAATGTGCTGAGGGTCAAATGGGCGATTTAGTGACGGCACCAACCGGCCTAGCGCAGTTGCTATACCCCTTAACCGTTGAAATACAGACCCGTGTTAAGACTCCACTGGAAGCAGATGAGCGAAATACTACAATTTCTTTAATTAAATTTTAAGAAAAAAAAAGAAAGGGCGAGTTTAGTGATGGTCAAACTATCGAACTTAGTGACGAAACGCTCAAAGTTTGGTTGGAACGAGATTTTTTTTTTTTTTTTGGGTTGGACCGAGAGATGAGATGCCCTGTTGAGTGACACAAAATAGTCAAAGTTGTTGACTGTGGAAGGCCCTCGTTCCAGTACAGAGCATTTAACAATGTACCTGGAACTGGTAATGGGTCCCGATACATTCAAAATGGTCACTCCGTTGGAATGTATCTTGGGCGTGAGACAGTCCAGATACGTGTCGAAGAGTGAATAGTGACGCCAGGCCCAAACTAAGTCGGAACCGTTAGATGAGATGTAGTTCAGTTTTGTTAGGTCAAACGGCGGTAAACGGTTAGCATCCGGCTTCACCCGAATAGAACGCCCGGCGATGATCGCTGTATCTAGACTGAATGTTGCACTAAATACAGCTAGAATGACCGTGCGCTGTGTTAGCACGAAGATGGTTCCGACAATCTTATCCACCAATCCTTTGGTTTCGGTTTTCTCGTGGATAGGATCAGCCGCAAAAAAAAAAAAAAGGCGAAAAGAAAGGGTCAGCATATGATCAAATCGATGTATCTAGACTGGATGTCGTCATGGACAAGGTCAATAGAATTGAATAAATACATTGCATGTCGTTGTGGAGGATAAGGTCAGTAGTTTATCACAAATCGTTATGGATACGGTCGTCAGTTTTTCAAATCTTGTCCTCGATAAGGTCTTTTTTTTTTTTTTGAAGTCGCAGTTTGTATTATCGAAAATTGGAGAACTGAGGCCGGGAGTCCCTCAACATCTCAACCCGGAATTCCTGGGGCCAATACCCAGATAAGGTCTTCGTTTTTCGTTTTTTCTTTTTTTTATGGAATGTATCTACCATGTCGTGCATAGCTCAGTGGTAGTCGTTTATATGGGGGAAGAAGCACGGTAATGGAATCTCGCTCCCCGGTTAATAGGAATTGCTAAAACTGGTAGTCGTTGCTCTTCTTCTTTTTCTCAAATTGTTTTTTTTTTTTCTTTTTGTTTTTCCCTTTCTTCTGCGTGTCTTTTTTAATTTTTTTTTAGATGGCACAGCTTATGAAGATAAGGCTGCAAGGAAAAGGAAAAAAAAGAAAAAAAAAAAGGGTAAGGATAAGGCGGCGGAATTTAGCTCAAAGCAACGAGAAGAAGAGGAAATTGATGATCGTTTTTCTTCTTCTTCGACGTTGTCGTCGTCGTCGGCGGAGTGTGCCTTCTTCTTCTCTCTCTCTCTCTCTCTCTCTCTCTCTCTCTCTCTCTCTCTCTCTCTCTCTCTCTCTCTCTCTGTTTTGTGGTTTGGACCATTTCTCGATTTAAGCGTGTCATTCTTGCGCAGGGCCCATGCTAATCTTCTCTATATCGTTTTTTTTTGTTTTTTTGTTTTTTTCTCCGGGGGTGGCACAGATTATGAAGATAAGGCGGCGGAAATCAGCGCAAGGCAACGAGAGGAGGAAACGACAATTCGCTCGGCAGAAACCGAGCTGGAAAAGTGTACGAAATGCAATTGCCTCCTGTATTTTATAAAATCAAAATTCCCCCCCCCCCTTTTTTTTTTTTTTTTTCTTTTCGTGTTTGCTCACGAGGGCGCGTATGCGGTGGGTCACATCACGACTTTCTTTCTTTTCCTTTTTTTTTTTTTTTTTAATCAGTAACTAAAGTGCCGTGTAAATTCGTGTGGAAAGAGAAAAATCGTCAGTAAAACAAGAAAGAGTTTAAAAGACTACCGATTTTGCCGTATGAACGTGGTCCTGGCCAAAGCTTAGAGATTCGTGGATGTATTTGGCCTCAATCACGGCAGTAGACGGATGTATCTGACCGGGATTACCGCCAGAGCTAAGGTAAAGAAGTCCCAGTGTGACTATGCCCTCATAAAGGGCCTCGCCACACGGCACACGAAACTAAAACGAAACGAGTGCATCTGCCCACGAAAGGTGGCCAAATACACTCGTTACTATTTATAGCAAATCGGTGAACCTGGCCATTTTCTGACGGAAGATGCACTCGTTTCGTTTTTCGTTTCGTGTGCCGTGCGGCGACGCCCAAAGATCTCGCCATTTGTTCGCGACGGACTTCCTCAGGAATTTAATTTTTCCCAAAACAACAACAACAAAAAAAAAACAAAAAAAAAACCAGAAACAAGAAGAAGACGAAGACTCTGCTGTTATTCGGTTGGGGGTGAGGGACAACGAAAATGGAGGCGCAGCTAGCTACTGCAAAATGCTCCGTCTTTGCGTTAGTGGGACCACCAGTGGTGGTCCCACCCCATTCTTGACCACCATGGTTAAGGGGGGGAGGGGGGGCAAGATGCATCCCCTCTGACTGATGGCTGGAGGGAGACAACAAAAAAGCTATGTTCCCAGGGGTTCCCTGTGTAAGTAAGCCTTAGGAGTAGTGGCAGGTAGGTAGGTAGGTAGTGAAGGTGAATTGAAACGAATTTGAAAGATGATGATGAAAGATTGGAGAGAAGAATATAGTATAGTGTAGCTTTTAGAAGCAAAAGAAAAAAGGGAGGGGGAAAATAGAAGAAGAAGAAGAAGAAGAAGAAGAAGAAGAAAGAGAAGAAGAAGAAGAGGGAAAAAAAAAAAAAAGAACGAAGAAGAAGAAGAAGAAGAAGAAATGTTAAGGTGAAGGGGTAATTGCAGAAATAGCGCGTTGTAGAAATTACCCAGCGGAAAATTTAATGTCGTCGGGGTCCGAAAGATATAATTTTGCAACGAAAATGGGATCCTGCCGGCAGATATTTTTGCTGTGAAACAACCGGGGACCTGGAAAGCTGCAACGAAAGATGTATTTTTATGATGAAAAAAAAAGGATGTATTTTTGCGTAGAAACTTGGGGCCGGGCACTACTTTTGCTGTGAAACTACCCCGAACGGGCGAGAGCTATTTTTGAAACGAGGGGCCTAGAGGGCGTACTCAGGGCCTCACCAGACGGTACACGAAACGAGAAAAAAAACTAACTCGTTTCGTGAACTTTTCGCCGCACAGTGAAGAAACGAATTCAGTCAGAAGGAAGTCGCGAATTGTGTCAGATTCACAATTCGTGAGGCTCCGCACGTGCCCCCTTCGGTGCCCGCCTGCAAAGCGCGAAAAGTCGTAGGTCCTCCCGAGGAGCTGCGAATCCTTGCGAGTGCAGCAAGTCGGTCCAAGGCTGCAGCACGTACGTCCAAGGGATGTGGGTCCAAAAAAAAATTAGCATTTGCGAAAGTCAGTGCCCTCAACACTCGTCAGGGCGTATCCGCGAGTGATTTCGCGTTGCCATGGGGCGGTGGTGCAAAAAACGAAACGAAACGGTGATTTTCAGCCCCGCGAGGCCTCGCGAGTTTCAAGGTCGTTTCGTTTCGTTTTTTGCACCGTCCGGCGAGCCCCTCAGGCTAGGGAAGAGTTTTCCTGCCTCGTGATTTTTTTTTTCCCTTTTTTTTTTTTTGGTTGTACAAGTTGGTTCGTTTGGAGGTAGAACTGTCTTTCGTCAATTTCGAGGGGCCCGGGCAGAAGCATGGTAGTCCGCTGACTGTATATTATTAAGTAATTTAAGTTGTTATTATTACGTCATGCGGATTTTGAATTGACAGTGAGACTTGAGAAGAGTCATTGCTTGGAGAGAACTCGTGAGCTGGTGAACGAGCGAGGGGACATTGCCATAGCTGTACTGGAGGCCAAGAAGAGTTGTGACGCTTTGGATAATGATTGCAGCTCCTTAACTGAGGTAGGTAGTATTATTCCCCCTGCAACAACCCCCCCCCCCCCCCCCCC